GTGTGTGTGTGTGTGTGTGTGTGTGTGAGTGAGTGTGTGTGTGTGTGCATGCAAGGTGAGGATCAGTGAGATGGCGTCATGTGAGATTAAACTGCTAATGGGACATTTACCATGAAACCACAGAAGTTATCATCTCAGTTCCTCCCATCGTTCATCAAATAACTGATGAAATCAACACCCATTAATAATTACTCCGAATTCAAGTGTTCATGGACTTAATCCTGCAAAGCCTTCAGCAAGTGCATCAATACAAATGCATGTTATGCAGCCAAACTGCTTCAACCTTGAACTTTGTTTTACATTTAAATGTAGTTTAGACAAAATGTCTAAAGTGTCACACTCATGAAGATGAGTTTGACATTGTGTTAAATAAATTGGAAATTTCAATATAATATTATCGTCCAGCTTCTAAAATTTCAGTCAATATCAAAGTGATATTTTTGATGAAGGGTTGGATGAAGCAGATACAGAAAATACATAATACATAATATATGTAGGCTATCACTGTATACGAAGTGGATTTGTTTTCTAATGATGATGATGCCACTGACAGGGTCATTTAAAGAAATACTGAAGTTCAAGAGATGTTCAAGTTACTCTTTACCACTTTAAAGTACTAAAATAACTGTCCCTTTTTTGTCTATCCATTTTCATTGTGATCACATAACTCTCTTCATGATATACAACTGCACACCACAACCCACGGTATATACAATATACTAAACAGGTCATAAGCTAATTGAGAATACTTACTATTTTCAATACCTTGGTTTTACTTGACCAACTAAAAGAAAGCCCAACCTTGCAGAGCTTTTCTTGTGCTCACTTTGAGGTATTTTCTTTTTCTGATAGATGAAAAAAGGGGAGTAAGAAAAAATCCTACTCTGATGAATGTCAGAGTGCACCTAATCAATCAAAGTCTGTGTTTTAAAATATTGATCTCCTTCCCATCTCCTTCTGCATTACAAATATTGGGCTTTGTTTTGTTAATCTGCAAGCAGAGAAATAGCTGCTCATTAGTACCATCCCAAAAGTGGATTTCAAAGTGTCCTGACCCAAGGTTTCATTCCCTGGTGTCACCTGTGAAACTCTGACAACACACTAAATTCTTCATATCCTAATATCTAACCATCATCGACACGTCCTGAAAATCACATGCACATTGCATCACATGCTTGCAACATGAGTTAAAGCTCTTTTTTCATGACGTCCTCTTTCCAGCTCCAACCAGCCGCATCCTGAGTGTAACTTCTGAATCCTCATTGAGTTGATCTGATAAATACGGTGCATCTGCCTGAGGAACCGGGACATACCAGGTGCTCCACACTTGAAATGTCTCAACTTGTGTTTACCAGCAGTCTAATGTCACAGGAAGAGAGACGCACAGATGAACACAACACATGAGAGTGGTGGAGGAAACATGTTGATCTTCTACCAAAGTAAAAGTGGCAATGCCACTGTATTTAAATACTACATTACAAGTAAGTCCTACATTGAATGTTTCACTTGAGTAAAAGTACAGAAGTATTTACAGAAACATGCACTTAAGGTATAAACATGTAACTACTCATCATGACACATATGGCCCGGTTCAGAGGGTTGTGTTTATCATCTGTATATTATTGGAATACATAGCATTTCAAGAGTAAGCAGCATTTTAATGTGGTCGAGAAGGAGCTAATTTAACTGATTTATACACTATTTGTGCAGTTTAATATACAAAATACATCATATTTTATAAGCTGAGCGTATATGCAAAAGAATGCGTGAACAGTAGCTGAGTAAAAAGTACAACATTTTTAGCACAAAAATGTAATTAACTCCAGAACTGCATAAATGCACTATGGAGGACACTGCAGTGGTAACGTGCTACATGTACCACAGGAGATTGGTCCGTTGCTGTGCCTGTTTTAACCCTGAAAGCGGCTTGAGTCTGCAGGGACTCCAGATTTTAGTACATTCCCACATAATCATTAATTTTCCTTGTGTTACCCACAGAAGTCGATGCGGTTCTTGAGGCAGTTTATTGCTGTTGCATGATTGTATTTCTCTACTTTTTTAGTTTGGACTTGTGAAACCAGAAGAAAGCAAATGTAAGCTGGTTGAAAAGTAGACCCCCCCCCCCCCCTCTCTCTCTCACACACACACACACACAAGAGAAGAGAACATAAAATTGCTTTTTGCATGAATTGAAAACAGCTATAAAAGAATACATTAAATTGAATTGCATTGCATTCATTAAAAAAAGCAGACATTTCCGTTTTCTTATCTCCCTACAAAACGAGTCTGCAGTCAATTAAGACAAATTG